TCAGAGCAGAATAACAAACAATCTCTTCACTCTAGCTGACCCAGGGAGAGGCCACCCACTGATCAATCTGGGTTAGCCTATGGTTAGCAAGGGTGGGGGTGGCTGCAGTACTCTTTTTGGATGGCAACAATACTACAAACCAAGTGACTCATAACAGATAGAACCAAACTGTACTTTGGATTCAGGCTCAAAGACTAAGGCACAACTGCAGAATCTGCAATAAAGTATAATGGCTGAGTGAACCAATGACTGCATGAAAACCATAAATGGGAAACATTTCTCAAAAGAAACATCCATGTATTTTGCTCCATAATATCTGTGCACGCTTCTACATACCTGAGAGGCGAGGTCTCTCCATTCTGCGACTCCTTGGTCATGCACAGTGACACTCCTCACTCCTGCAAGGATTACGTTCTTGGCAATCTCTACTCCAAGACCTCTCATACCAGAGATAAGGACATTGGAGTTCTGCATGCGCTTCATCGCAGCATGGCCCAACACGTAACTACGGAAGGAGATAAGGCACCATTAGAACAACTGTTTTGTTTAACAACCATTCCAGTTTGTCAGTTTCAGTTGACTTACAGCTGTCTGGAGTACAGGCCTTCATCGATCTCAGCATCATTGCCATTCTTAGCCATGCCCTGAAAAAACACACAGAGGGATTGCCATCAGTTTGTGTAACAAGTTTTACAGTATAATAGTGTATGGGTTTGTACTCACGTTGGCAGGTGTATGGGACAGATCAGTTCTGACAGAGTTGGATGAGGAGCAATGGGATCCCGTCTTCGTCTCTGTTCCTGACAAGCGACGCTTCTTGGACAGCGGCGAGCTGGACATCTGCGCATCAAAACAAACACAAACCGTTAAAGCCTGTTGTGAAGCATGATAAGATAATCAAATGTTGCCATTTAACATTTCCCATGAACAAGATTTTATTTATTAATTTACAATTGTTATGTATCGAATGTAAAGTCAACAGTTTCAACAATTAAGTAAATCAAACAGAGTGAAGAAACTCAGTGTCAGCATGTTAGTATTTCAAGGAGGTTTTCAAATAAGTGCAAAATATATATCTAAATGCTACGGCTCTATATCAGCAGTATCCAAGCCGAACGCTGCCCAATCCCCTTCATGTTCAAGAGGATTTCTCGTCTAGGGAGCAGCTGGGCTGGCTGCTGGCCAAACACAAATCTGCTAGAAAACGAACTGAGCCTGGGAAGAGACATGAATAGCAGCATTATCAGTTATTTTCATGCTCGGATACAGGGCTGGCCTGTTTATGTACTTCTATTGTCCATTATACCGGTATTTAAGGACCGCCAACATCGTTTCAACAAAAAGAGCTGAATCATTAAAACTTCACTGCGGTAAAGTGAGCAACACCTCACGGCGGCCTGCAGGTGTGGACACAAGGTCCATACAATGCCGTTTGAACGATCCTCAGTGTGGAGATATCAAAAGGGCGTCAACAAAAAAATGTGTATCTTTAAAAACCACCAAGTACACTGTGATAAACGGAACAATCGAGACAAACCCAGCCGCGTTAGGAAGTGAAACAGGCCGCGATCTCTCGAACACATCCTCACTGCACGGCATTCATGATCGGACACAATTTCCGCATCCAATGCAGCTAAACTTAACGTTACAGGCGTCGAGAAAGTCAGACGTAACCGTTTATGTACGTCCCTACAGATAAGCACAATGAAGGGAGTTGACCAAAGTTGTTAAATAAATAACGATATAACCAATCAAAATCCAACGTTGTAATGTACTGAACCGTTACTGTTCGTCAAAAACAAAAATGAAGGCAAACAATGATACAGCAAAGCAAATGAGCAATACAATATGTTAACTGACGAAATCAAGCCTTTAACGTTGAGGAACACGGTACATAAATGTCCCTACACACAAACAAGAAGAAACCGATTAAGTTCGTTGCGTGCCACTAATCAGTTAAGTGATTTGGCGAAGTGGACACAGTCGGAACATAAATAACTTAAGAGGCAAGAAAACACCAGCCAGCCAGCCTATCCATTAGCAGCTCGGCCTAGGCCTGCATTTCCCCCAGTGCGGAACACAACTTTACCAGCTAGCAGCTGTAGCTATATGCAACCTGCTCGCAAAATACAGCAACGGTTTCATTTTGTCAGCTAGCCAAAATAGCTCCTTTATTAATATCGATCGTGTTTCCAACACTCAACAAAAACCAGCATTCAAATTAATCGCCCAATGTAAGATTATTTTGCGAATGTAAGACTAGCATTTTCACTCGTGCTCCATTGATTTCTCTTTTCTTACCAATAATCCTTCTCGGTCCCTTCCCAATGCGAACCCGCTCCTCTCCCGCAGTATCTAGATGTCAGTAAAATCGATGGTTGTAATTTGGACGATTCGAACAAAGAAAAGAAACGCGGTGTGGGATTAGGAGGGTCTGCGGTATACTGTCGAGTCACTATGTCGTTGTGCTGAGAGTCTCGTCTATGTAATTGCGTTGCTGGCTTTGCGACTGCAGACGGGAACAAAACCAAAATGGCAGATGGGAGAAAGGGGCGGAGGAGCTGTGACGCATGGGCTGAAATATTCAACAGGAAAGGGAGGCTGTGAGCACGCTGCTCGGACAGGAGCTCCGCTCATTGGCTGCCTAACAGAAGCCAACGTGCATCCATCCCGCCCCTTTAACCAGAAGATGCATGCCATGTATGTTACTGTACAATGAACTGCAGGACCACCAGCGATCTTTGTAAGGAAAATCTTGCAATTCTTACAGAAATAACGAGCAGAGCATGTCTGACGTAAATTAAAGAAAGCAAAGGTCCTACACGGACTATACTTTAGCATTTTGAAAAACTGTAGACCAATCTATCCCAGATTAATGAAATCCAACAACAACAACAGCATCTTTGTGACTGTGGCTTTGTGTTGAAAAGTCGCCTCGTTGTGGAACTACACTGCATATACACAACTTACAAAAGACATGGACAAAATGCACCATGAAACATAATATAATCTGAATGCTATACCAATTTGGAGACTCATTGCACGACAATTGAAGTATTGTAGTTTAGAGATGTGGTCCTTTATCAGAGTTCAGCAAAACACATCTCAAGTCAAGTCTGATGTTGCTCCAATGGTAACTGAGCCAGGTACTACATCAGGTAGGATACTTGCTAGCCCTAGTGATGCTGAGCGTCTGGGCCCTCAGTCACATTGAGGTTAGGGGGTGAGCATTCCTTGCAGAGGAGGAGAATTGGGGGAGGGGGTGCCTGGCAAATGACAAAGGCCCAGGAAAAGAGTGGGCCGCATATTCTCGGGTACACATGTCGAGGGGATCCCCATTCTCACATCAATGCTGCGAAATGAAAAAACACAATATTTTCCACCATTCCAACAGAGTTCAAAACAAAGAACATAATAAATGTCATGTTAACAGACATCCCAACTTGGCAAGCTAAAAGGAGACCTCGCCAATAATGAGTTGCTGTGGTAGCATCAATTATCGTCCTATCGTAACGTTATCAAAAATACATATATAGAAGGTGAATTGTTGCCAGTGTGGTCTAGCAAACACTGCGTGGTGCAAGTTAGCTTGTGTCTGCTTCTGAACACTGCGAGCATCTGGTGTTTGTAGCCAACTAGCTTTCAAGCTACTGTTAACGGTATTCATCACAGAACGTTAGTTGAAACAGCAGTCTCGTGCACATAAAGGTGCGAATTCCAATCTGTAGTTAACGGTTACGTGCCAGTGGTTTCTATGCTACGGTAAGCAGAGGAGCAACGCTGAAATTGTCCAGAAAGCCGACAACAACTAACGTAAACGATAACCAGTAACGCAGATCAAACGACTGCGTAGTTGTTAGCTTATGTGCAGCTAGCTTTAAAGCTATCTAGCCACCCAACGACTTTTTCCTACTTCCAGCCGCTATGTTAGCTTAACTAGCTAACGTTAGCAAACTAGCTGGGGCTAACACTACCAAGACAAGAGCTTTCACAAGTGTGCAGAACTTACCACATCCGATAATACTCGGCCTGATCTGTAGTATTAAAATCGGTTTGTATTTAAGCAAAAAAAAACTAACAAAGAATGGGACAATTTAACAGTACCGCGGATTGCAAAGTGAAAAGTGTGTCAGGGTGGCGGGCTCTGTGTGAGTTTTTCCGCTGGACGGCTGCCTGACCGGCTGTTCCAGAACCGTTTCCCCTCACTCTATTTCAGTTCAAAGCAAAGCAAAGCAGCAACATGTGCACGTTACAGGCACAACCATCATTCCCTTCAAGAGGGTTCACCCATAACTGATTTAAATACATGTATCACAAGTACATTTAATTATTATTTTTAATGTTGTTCCACACTACTTAGAGAATCAAGTATATTGAATGTTACACTCGTTCATTGTTTGATCGCATGTTAACTTTTAACAATTATTTCCTTCACCCCCATGCTTCCACAAGTATAGACTAATCCAAAAATCGCGTAGGGCATGATGGGACTTGTAGGCATGGCGTTTATCATGCCTCTGTTAAATCATTGGATAACGGTTCTTTCAGCTTTAGCAATAAAAAGCGTTTACGTGATTCCATGTATATAATGCTGCTATATTCATATTAAAAACAGCTATTAGAGTTGAATCAACTCGTCAAATAACTTTTAATCAATGAAAAAACGAACGATATAAAGCATATTTTTTAATTTTTTTAATTGAAAGACTTGCAAACAGTGCACAGTTTACACAGAGACAGGATAGTGGATTTAAAGACTTGTTCAGGAGAAAAGCACAGAACCTGGTATTACATAGATCCAAAAGCAGAATGAACTTCCATAAATACTTTTTTACATGATAAAAAAGGAGCAAATATAGACAGTACTATCAAATTAACAGTAACAATTGAATGCATGACAAAATTGGAGAAAAAACAAAACAAACTCCATGGACAAAACTGGAGAAGAGTGTGTGTGTGTGTGTGTGTGTGTGTGTGTGTGTGGTGTGTGTGTGTGTGTGTGTGTGTGTGTGTGTGTGTGTGTGTGTGTGTGTGTGTGTGCATGCATGCATGCGTGTGTGTTTGTTTGTTAGTTATTGCAAAGCCTTTGAAAACTAGCATCTCAATTTTGATCAAGCTCTCAAACAGGCGTGGAGTATTTCAAGTTTAAATACGGCTATATAATAAAACAAATCTCAATCTGCAGCAGCTAATGAAATGGCGAACATCTGTACAACTCTTTGACTGTAAGTTTATGATTTTGGAGCCTCACTAGTTGAATTAATAGCTACATAAATAAAAAGGAATGGAAAATAATGACATAGGATGTGCTGCTTAAAAAAGAAGTAAATGTCAGATTAGTTATGAGGAAGTTTACAACATAGGATGAAAGCAGGAATCAGGAACCAAGTTCTTTGTATTTATTTACACTTTGTAAGGAATAATGGAAATATTACTATACATAACACTCCCCCTCCCCAATAACTCGCACTATAAGCTGATTATTGTACCACAATATCTTACTTGTGTACATTTAGGATTTGCAAACTGCGCTGAATGCTTAGATTTGAGTATAACAAGGTTGTGTTGCAAGCATTTTGATGTGCACAATCTGGATTTGCTTTTATGATCTTTCTTTTTGCAGCTCTCATACAGAGAGATGTACTACTCCTCCTACACTCAAGTCATGAGTGTATTTAAATGCCATAGTTCATTTTCTCTCAGACCAGTATTCTCAAAAGGAACATACAGCCGTACCAAACATCATTACATGGTTACTTTTCCTTTTTGCGTTAGTGGATGATACTTGGGTGTGAGACAGTGTCTCTAAACCCCTTGACATTTGAACCATAAATCCAATGTTCCATCTGTTGTGTATTGCATCATGGACAACTGTTTTATAGCCCTCTGTCCATCCCAGCTCCGGTGGACTGGTTGGTAGAAGCAGCATCCTTCTGTCCCTCCCTGTCTTCTTGCTCTCCTGCAGCCCGGGGTGAGGATTGTGTGGGTGGGGAGGGTGGGGGATAGGAGGGAGGAGGGATAGTAAGGTGAGGGAGAGATGGCAGCGCAGGCCTGGGAGAGGTTGGAAGAGGCGGTGGAGTTGCAGAGTTTGCAGTCGTGGTATGTTGTGAGGAGCGGGCGCGGGAGGTCGCAGGAGAGGCGTGTGTGCTCCTGGCTCGAAGCGGCTCTGCAGGGCAGTCACTGATTTGCTCCATCAGCGAGGGCATGTCTCCCTCAATCTTCTCAAGCACGGCGGCCATTTGCTTTTCGATCTGCTCAATCACACTGTCCATTTGCCAGTCGCTTGTAGTGCTGCTCCTGCCTGCTCCATGTGGTAGCCCAGTCCCATACATCCCTATCCCTCCTCCAGTCATATATAGGGAACTGTATGGACTCCCATAGCTCCCTGCCATCCCCATTCCTACAGTCCCAACTTCTGGGTTGTATGGAGTGGCGTGACGGCCCAAACTAGCAGAGCTGCCTGTGTAACAACCCTGTCCTGTTGCAGGACCTGGCCTTGCCATGCTGAACTCAGCGCTGTATCTGTCTGTTGCCCTAGTATCCCTATCCCTTCTCATCATGGGGCTATCCTCACCCCTTAATCTAACTCCTCGTCCTGCATCAGCCCCAGTTTCAGGTGCCACTGTTTGAGCGACTGCCACTGACCTCTCTGCCACTGCCTCAGGTAATTCTGTCTGACACCAGCTTCCATCAGTCTCATCCCTCTGGTCCTTCTGCATTGCTGGCCTCTTGTCTGGTGAGGCTGTCCCAGCAGCAGAGGCTTTGGGTGTGGGGCCATGGAGCGTTGCAGCCATCTTACGTTTACTGTTAGGATCAGGGGAGGCGGATGTGTGTTTTTTGTTCAGGTTAGTCTCTGAAGACCCGTCTGACAGCTTGGAGGGGTCAGGCGTCGTCATGGGAGTTTGTTTGGATTCTGGAACAACTTTACCTTGACCCAAGTTGGCAGCCATCTTCCTGGTTCCATCACCTGCTGCTTTCTTTGCACCAACCTTGTCAAGCTCCTCCTGTGCGAGTTTGAGGGCTGCATTTGATTGGCTTTTCTGACAGAGAGGCTCCTGAACATCTGAGGGGGAAGTTCCCACTGATGGGCCTATACTTTTCTTTGCCTCATCCTGATTTTCTGCGACCGTACTCCTCCCCTCATCCTTTTCTATACCCAGCGGTGTATTTTCAACCGTAACTTCTAAAGACACACTGCTTGATGTCACTCCTTCATCACTTGTTCCTTTGTCTCCCTCATCACTTGTCCCATGGGACAACACTCTCTCACTATCTCCTGCCTCCTCTGTGCTCTGAGCCTCGGCTGAACTGTCATTCAGGGCCTCTGAATTCTTCAATCGTTGCATGAAGGTGGTGACACGGATTGCTTTCTGCAACACAGACAGATGAAAAAAAAGAGGAGAGGAAGATATAGGTGTTAAAGGCATTAAAGTTACAGTATGTTGCTTTTTTTCATTAACACCCATATTGGTTAAAGAAAAGAAAAGCGTTGATCCTATATTTGGTTATGGCAATGCAAATAACATAAGATTGGAAAACAAGTATTTGACAAAAAGCCTGTCACGGTACCATAATTTATCACCATCATAATAAGCGTGAGATGTGACAGTAAGATTGGTGCCATCTGTTTACTTCCAGGAGGCTATGATACATTTGTACCCTGGTTTAAATCAATCTCAAGACTCACTCACTCCAAGCCACTCCTTGACTGCTTGTTGTCTGAAAAAGGTAAGTGAACAGATGGGTGTAAATCTCAGTCACTGTTACACCCATCTGACTTATTATGATTTACAAACACTTAAGGAGTTAAAGAAAATGTGTAGGCTTAGAAGTTGTGTTTAAACCAGGGAATCGATTCTCTGGAAGTGAAAAGCCATTTGGACAGACATATCACTGAATACAATATGGTTTGACTGAGAAGCTTTTGTACAGCTTCAAGTATGACTTGAATGTAACACTGAGGTACAGTATGGGTCAATGAACCAGGATTCACGTAAGAGGAATGACAGAGGGCCTTAGAGATCAAATCACTGCGGTTCAACAGTCCACAGTGGCCTACATCCCTTATATCCTTTCTATTTCTCCCTCTCCTTATCTACACAAAAAAATAATACAGACAATGAGCAAACCCCTTTCCCTATTGTGGAACATGAACTTGTTTTTACCAATCTGGTTTCATATACTAGTGCAGATGAGGAGTAAGAAAGGAGTAGAGCGAGCCACTTTGAACATCTTGGTCTAAATCCAATGAAGAAAAGTGGGACAGAGTGGATGGATCTCTTCTGGGACAGGACATGAGTGACAGTGGGCAGGAACAGAGCATCTGAGAAGACTTTCACCAGCCAAACATGTTCAATACATCTTGAGGCTGACTGAGGATTGACTGGAGATGTTTCCTGATTTGATTATTATAACTAACTGTGAAAACCTCTTTATTAATAAAGGGGATGTTCAGTCATCATAAAGATGTTTTGTTATTGAATCATGCCAGACTGAAGGTGAGTTTCTGCCCATGCTCTGTCCTTCCATTCTCCCTCATAATGAACAACAATACCTTCAAATCCTGGGAACCACATGGGGAAAGAGAGAAGAGGGTTATCACTGTTACTTATGCTGTTAGGTCAGCGCTGCCATCTTGACTTCCTTCTTCTTGGTCCTCAGCATTTACTACCCCCATGTCCTCTTATGACCACCGCCATATCATTTGCAAATGTAAGACATACCTCTGCAGAGTTGAATGCAGAGCTAGAAGTACCTCATGTGCAATCAACATATAAATAGATAAATTATAATCATAATCATTCACGCTAGTCATCTTTATTTGTTTGCCCTAGCCTTAATCTTGTTTCCCCCCCTTTTCCTCTGCTGCTTACTTGGCTATTTTATCACAACATTTATTTACTGCTATAGAAAGAGAGTAAGAGTGAATACATACCCGCCATTTGGCCTTTGCAAAGTTCTTCTCAAACTGGGCACACACGCCATCCTTTAGATTCTTCTCGGATGCACCATTCCCTGCAATCCTGTCATAGGTGACAAAAAACAGCTTACAAGTGAGAACTAACCCAGTAGACATGTGCCAAAAAACGTGTGCTCTGTGATTATGTGCAAACAATTACCATTCATGCCAAAGTGCATCCTGCGCTGTGATTCTAAGCATCTGGTCAACCTCCATGAGTCGACAGACGAGCTCCTTAGCTGAGAGAGAAACAATACAAAAAGTCAATTTAAAGGTTTAAAGACAATTAGATCATTGATTAAGAGGCATACAATAAAAATTGCAACTAAAAGCTCCATTTAAATTTAGACTGCGGAAGGAATAGTCAATTATTTACCGACTACCAACACATCCAATGCCTTTCAAAATTCAACTGGTTGTTATTGCCATCGTGTGGTAGAGCTATGTACCTGCAGGCGAAATGTCATCCCAGTACGGAGAATCAAACTCAAATTCACCAGCAACGATGCGACAGAAGATGATGCGATTATGTAGATCTGTGTTCTCCTCCTCTGTCTCATCATAAAAAGGTGGGTTACCTGATAAGCTACAAAAAGGAGAACATACATAAAGAGACAGAGAAAGGGAAGTTATTTTAAAACCATGCAGATAACTCCTGGAAATGTGAATTACAAACAACAAAGCAATTATTTTGGATGAAATGTATTTGCAGCTAAGTGTTAATCAGGCTTTTTGTTGAATTATAGCTTTGATGGAGACTCACAGTATGAACATAATGACACCCACAGCCCAGCAGTCCACAGGGCGACCATAACGGTGACGAGCCACCACTTCAGGAGCTGAGAGACAGCAAAGAGAAAAGCAGACATAGAGAGAGAGAGAGTGAAGAGAGATTAATATGGCTGGATTTTCATTTATGAATCTTCAGACGGCATTCATAACCCTGCACCACCCGGGCCTCTGTTCCATTTTCTTTCTTTATTTGTCTAATTACTAAGCTCAGCATTATGAATAACCATCCTGAACTTTCACTGGAAAGAACAAGGCCAAAGCATAGTTGTGTAATGCCCTCACATAAACTTGAGAGAGAGAGTTAGGTACTTCAACTGGAACTCATGACTGTTTTTCAAAAATATGTCAAGACATGAAAATGATAAAGTGTGTTAGCAAGGAAGTATGCATAGATGAGTCAGAGAAACATAAAAAAGTAAAGTTATATATGAAAAAAACCTCCACAAAAGCTGTCGAGTCTCTTACCCAGATATTCTGGTGTCCCACAAGGCTCTGTGATCGGTCCATTCTCAAACTTGGACAGGTAGAAATCCCGCAGAACTACTTTGTTGTGGTTGTTTTCTGTGTAATACATCAGGTTTTCCAGCTAAACAAATGAGGAACATAATTAGGTATTTTCCCACAAATACACACTATAAAACATGTTCAATCCTTATATATCTCTTGACAGGTAACAGAACAAACAAACTCAACAAATGTTGGCATAAAATTGTTAAATGTGCGGCATGAGTCAGCTCGTTATTAGTCTTACATATGATATTGGTGGATGGAGATTGGGAGAGATAATGATTTCTGAATGTGCACCAGGTTTTATATTGTGCAATTACTGATATACAGTATATTGTTTTATAATAGCTTGTGTGGGATATTTTAGCATATGATTTATATTTTTAACTGTATGTTTTATGTATTTGATCATATTTTATGTTCAAATCTATGTTTGTTCTGTGTTTAGGTTGCTGAAAAAGAAATGTTCCTATTGGACTTATTATGTTAAAGTTGAAGTCTTGGTTTTACATGCCTAGCATGTTCAAATCAAAATGACAAAAGTATATTATGTACCAGTGAGAAGTAATGGATCATCATCGTTGGTGATCCTGTAATGTGTCTTAAAGAACAACCATATGTAATTTATTGCGCTAATCTGAAAAAGTCATTTTTATAAAATGTAATGGGTTCTGAAGATAAATGAGTGCAGACTGTGTAATGTATACAATATAAACCTGAAAAGAATTCCAGCTTCTGCCAGTGGGGGGAGTCTGAAGGACGAGACATGATGTAATTCCATCCTAATGGGTTGATAATGGTGGCTAAAGACATGAATCTGTCTCGATGTATGTATCACTAGAGATTGCATTAAGCCATAAAGATAGTGTTTACTCCCTTGCTAAAAGGTTATCAAATGTTGAGTCATTAACTGAGATGGCATAGCAATGCTTTCATGTGTCTCCAAAGAGATACACTATAAAATGCCTTGAGTGGCGAATAGGTGCCTTGCACTCAAACAAGGCTTTTGTTAAAGAAAGTACCTTCAGGTTCCTGTGCACTATGTTGAGAGAGTGTAAGTACGCCACAGCCTCAAGGACCTGTCTGATGACATTGGATGCGTCTCTCTCTGTGTAATTCCCTTGATCCAGAATCCAGTCAAATACATCTCCCCCTGTGGCACTGTGTGGAGTCAAAAACACATACCCACATGAACACATCAGAACACATATCGACAAAAAAACAAATAAAAATGAATGCAAGTTAGTGTGACTGTTTACCACATGTTGCAACAAAACAATTCACTTTAAGCGTTCAGTAACACAGTTACCAAAAGCCCTGTGCTCTTGTTTTTTTGTTCATTAGTAAGGCAATCTGTTTCTATTGGCCAAAAGCAAGCGCTGCTGAGCAATTAAAAATTAGAGCCTTGGTCATTTCTCTAAAAGACTTGGTTAACTTCAGAGTGTGTATACATGACGGGTGTGATCATCACGTATCGCCCCCAGCAGGAGGGCTGTTGGCTTGTAAGATGTGAACAGTCACCGACTCATAAACAGACTGCTGAACACAGAGATGACGGCTATCACTTCGAGAGTCTGTTTTGCTTTATAACAACAACAGAAGGGAAATAATTGTCCACTCAGCGCCATTTAATGTTATTGCTTTCAAATAAAGTTGCGAATGTTAAAAAATGCACTAGTCACAAGTGACGCAGATCGATCCGAAGCTCTCTGAAGAGACCCTGTTATTGCCAAGCAGGGCTTCAGCAGTAATGAATAATGTTGAGTGTTACTAAGAGCAAATACTTCATAAAACTAACACCATCCTCTGTTGCTGAGGGGAGCAACAGAGCACACAGTAATAAAAGGAAAGACTCGACCCCTACCCTCTAGCTGATGGATTTGTGTGTGTTAATACACAATTAAGAAATGCACACTTAAGTACACTATGTCGGGAAATGGTTACACGAAAACATATTAAGTGAAACAGTAAACGAAACACTCACAGTTCCTGGATGATGAAGTATTCTTTGCGGGTCTCGAATGTGTCTATCAGCTGAAGGATGTTTGGATGGTTGACCCTGGAAAAGCAGGAAGGAGTAAGAGAACATACAAGAATGAAGCTTCACACATGCATTTGTAAGATGCTAAACATTATCTTGCTTTTAAATAGCTATATACAAACAACATAAAGGGAATATCTTTTTTAGCTGGATAGATACTTCAAAAACAGTCCTGAAGAAGTTACAAACACCTGGGCTTACATTATTAACAATGGTAATTGCATGGATTGTGTGACTGGAATTATGAACAGAAATTTAAAATAACAAATCAGTCTTTCAATCTCCCTCTCTCTCTCTCTCTGCCTCTCTGCATCATACATCCATCTGTCCACAGACCAACTGCTTACAATTTCAGGATCATGATTTCGTTCTTGGCAGCTTTGCGGACTTTCCTTCCGTCTTTCTTGAGGAATTTCTTGCAGACAAACACCTTGTCTGTCTGTCTGTCTTTAGCCAGGCACAGCTCGCAGAACTCCTTCCTACACAAGAAGAAACAAATAGAAAGACAGATAGTCAGAGAAAGGTAGAATTTATCACATCTTAGAATATTGCCAAAGAGAGGCACAGCATAATAGGGAGACAAAGTACACAGAATGTTTTTGTGAAATACAGGGAAAGAATTTAATTGGGTGGAGAGAGTCATTGACTAGAATAAAAGGGTCATGAATAACATATCTTAAATGGGTCTTTCGCTGTTATGTGCTGGGCATCGTCTGTTTTTTAGCCTTGGGGCATGCAGTGCTTCAGCTAAATGGATTTTGTGAAGCTGTGCGATGCAAAAATAAACTGCAACATTACCCATTTAATGTGTTATGCTCAATACATACAGAGAAGATTCGAATGGGGCGCTTTCTTCCCTCTCTTTTTTATTTAATGTAGATTATTTATGAAAATTCCTATACATTCAAGTATTTCAAAATGTAAACATTATTTTTACAGCAAATGTGTGAACTTAATTGAAGTTAATGTGTGTATGTTTGTGTCTGTCTGTGTGTGTTATATAAAAGATGAGCAGAAATCTCCGAGGCCAGATGCTGATGTTGCCATATGGCCTCTTACACTGATTGGTGTGTGTGTGTGTGTGTGTGTGTGTGTGTGTGTGTGTGTGTGTGTGTGTGTGTGTGTGTGTGTGTGTGTGTGTGTGTGTGTGTGTGTGTGTGTGTGTGTGTGTGTGTGTGTGTGTGTGTGTGTGTGTGTGTCTTTAATGTGTCAAGGATAGGTGTTCATGAGAAGTAAACTTTCAGTATTCGGTCAGTCAAGCGGCAATGATTTTCACAGCGCTTTGAAAATATGTCCAAAAATATATTTTTTTAGGCATGACACAGAATATTTAAACAGAATAAATTACAGTGTTTCACGATCTGTCATGATCAAAAAATATATGGACAATTGACTGGCTAAAATTTGAATAAATGTGACTGTTACACACTAGCCTCATGCTTTACCTTCTGTCATTCCTTCAGTGAAAACGTTTGATATGCCAAACCAAATCTGGAGGGAAAATGATCCAATTTGAAATAATTCATGAAGGGAATAAAGACCATTAGGGAATACTGGAATGTGTCCATGAATTCTACATGGGAGAGATGGGGGGAAAGGTAACATAGGAGCATGCATAGAGTGTTAGGTACTCACGCTCGAAGGACCTGTCCAATCTCATATTTGTCCGTGACATCAGACAGGCTATTGTAATTCCGCCCATCTCGCAGGGCAAGGCACCCAAATGGCATGACGGCATTCACCTAAAAAATAAAAGACATTTCAATCATTGCACTATAAAGGGGTAAGTTAAGCATGAATTATTTGGTTACACCTTTAGGTAACAGACAGATAAAGGGAATGCAGAAAGCAGCATAGACAAGGATGTTAAAGGGGAAAAGAGGTACTGATGAAACATTATGAAAGCCTCCAGTGGTTGAAGTCAGAGGCACCAAGGGAGTGTCCTTACTATTAGCCTTGAGAATATGCAGTATATTGGAAAAGCACAGATACAGCCAAGTCCATTTCTCAACGAATCTGGATACTAACGCTTCTGGCAGCCTGGTTGCGTGCCAGCCTTGTCAACAGATACTAAGCTACCCACTAAGCTTCTCTCTACTCTGCTAAAGTCTGCAGATTCTATGCAACGTCTGTCAAGTTCAAGTTAAACTTTATTTATAAAAGGGCAGTGTCCCTGTGTCCCTACAGCAGCTGGCTTCCTTTGCAATCATTGGTGCCCTGAGTAACATTGAGAGCGCTGGCTTTGACAGAAAAATTTGATTTTTGTTTGTCGTCTGTGTGTGGGTGGGTGTGTGTTTGGATTTCTCTTTTGATCTAGATCAGTAGTTCATGACCTTTTAAACTGGCTGTGAATTACTTTGAGTTCCTCTTTTAACCTTACTGTAACTCTCGCTGTGAGCCGGAAAGATTGCACTACTGAACAGCATACATTCCAATGACCACGTAGAGTATATATAACCTGTACATACAGTATGTACTTTTCCAACGCATCTCTCTTATCATGTCCGCCCTAAAATAGCTTGTGACCCCACAGGAGGTCCCAAACGCCCAGGTAGCAAATCAAGGATCTAGATAGTGAATCAGCAATCGATATACCATCTCACCACAGTCCTCAGGCAATCCTCACCCACATCCTTTAACACTCCATCTGCTAAGAGACAGATTCCCTGGAAGCTTCAGCCATCTATATTCAGGGTCCTCCTCCTCCCCTAGATACCTGACAAAACCAATTCCCATCATTATGTTCTAATGTTTCTCCTGACTTTCCCTTAATGGAGATTGTTTTCTCATGTCTCTTAGGGGCTTCGGACAATGTCAAGACACATTTATGGAATTGAGTTATTCAGGAAATATGTGATAGGATAGGAGGGGGAGCTGTGGTAGGGTTAGTGATGGTAGAGACTTCAGGATTGTGGTGTGTGTGTATGTGAGGGAAAGAAATGGAGAAAGAAAGGCAATGGAAAAATTGGGATTGTGATCCGAGTATTAAGTAGCAGGAGACAATAGAAATTCTCAAAGGTAATGACTTTTTCGCGGGTGCTAATTTAGGATTAAGGAACGAATATCATTGATGTAGAAATCCTCCCTTTCTCTTTCATCTTTGTGTGCGTAAAGCATCGCCATAGTAGATGATAGGGCCAGAGGTGCCTGCGATCTATGGTGGAGGCGGGGCTGGAGAGTACTGTGTAATCCTACTGCTGGCCCTAATCTCTAATCTGTACCCCTAATCCAGAGCGTTGGTATACTCTGTTTGTGTATGTGTGTGGATGCATGAGTGTGTGTGTGTCTGAGCAAAGAGCAAAGGTTGATGTGGATATGTCACATGTGCAGATATGAGTTTGAGCAGAAGGGTGTGTGTGTCTTTGTGTGTGTGTTCATGTGTGTCCATATGTGCATCCTTGTGTGAGCGTAATGCTCCAGTGAAACTGAGGAGGAATTTAGCGATGGATTGAAAAAGCCTAGTTGCGCCAGAAGATTATGTAAGCACAACAACATTCCCATGGTTAGGGCCAGGGCGATGAAGGTGATGCTGGCGTGATGTGAATGGAGCGTGTCCATCTCTGTAGGAACAACATGTCCCCATTGAAATATAGTAAGAACCGCCAAGCAACAAATGTCAGCAAAGGAGCTTGCCAATCACTTTCTGAGATGCTAACTTTGGAGTACTGTTGGTTTACACAGTTTTTTGCTTGCTCTAAAAAAGAAAATCTCCCTATTGGCCACCATATTCTCTCTTACTTTATAGAAATTCTCTCTGATTTTGTTAGAGCATCATCACATTCCCAATTATTATTATTAGGAAATACTGCAAAAATATTTGAGTGCATATTTTAAATCTGTACCCAGGAATCAATGTTCTTGAAAAAATGTCCTCTGGTGTCAGAATGGGTCCAACTTTAGGAGAAACTTAAAAGGATGATTGTACCTTTTCAATATGTATTCCCTGAAGGCTTGAAGGGTAGCTGTTCTCAGAATATTGGCTACCTGTTTGTGGTTTGATGTGGAGCTAGTCAATTTATGATCTAGCCTTTTCTTTTGATATGTTTTTTCTTCTGTTGTGCCACTGCATGGTGATTGTTTCTTGCCCTAAAAACTGAAGTGCCTTAAAAACACCATTCCTGCAGAATACTCAGTCAGTACGAACCTTGAAGTTAACACAGAGTAGGAGGGAATATGGGAACATATGAGAAGAAAGGAGTTGAGAAGGTAAGAGAGAAAAAGACAAGAGATGAAGAAAGAAATGAGAAACAATAGGAACAGAAAGGCAAGAAAATACTGTGACTAAGTGAAAAGGATAGAGAAAAGACTGTACATGAGAACAAAGTGTAAAAGTGCAGAGGCAGATAGAGAGTACCTCTCCACCTCACAGCTTCACAACTATGTGAGTGTGAATGTTTGCACAGGTGAATCTGTCTGTATGCGCAGGTGGGTGAATGTGTAGGTATGTGCCAACAGGCTATGTTTGATCATGTGGAGTGTGACCCATTTTTATCAGGGTATGAGGGCTGTCCCCAAAGTCAGAAAGCATTTCAAAGTACGCTGAATGGGAAACCTCTCCACAAAACAAATATGCACACTTTCTAAATATCTGCTAGGTGGAGGTAGCACAATATCAGAGATAAAATGAAAGCATTGGAATGCAATGCAACATTCAGAGACCACTGATCTCTCAGCAGCAGGGGCTGATTTGAATGACTAAAACTGAGCTGTGACATTTCACTGCAGTAATTATTAAAGTGTTCAAATACTATTAAATAATTTCTGTAGCTATACATACAAAATTATCCGCACATACTGTACATGGCTTGCGAAATTGAGGGAACATCCAGTGTCATGTTTGTTATGTTGTTTCGTTCATACTTGTAACTAACTGATCAGGTAATTTAACTGTAGTTTTATTATTTTTCTGAAATTATGAATTATCTCCAAATAGTAAATGTGCCATTTTTACAGATTTGTCAAAATAGTGAACTTGATCATCCAAGAACGTATACATGTTCTTAATCAAACCATGCAATTGTTGACAGTTCACTCGTTTTACAATTTGCATATACCTTTGAACTGCTCACACATTAACACACAGGCACACACAGGCTTAGGTGTGAAGGCACACCAAGGCATCACACGTTATCTTCAGCCTCAAATTGCTTGTGCAAGTCTCTGTGCATAAGTGTGTCTTCGTGCTTTTTCACAAGTGTTGTGTTTAGGCTCCAGCAAGGCAAAAAAAATGAATCAAAAGGAATAGAATCTCTTTATATCAGCTTAGAGGGGAAGTGTTTCAGAGGTTCTCAGTGTCAAGGTTATTCTAAGAAAATTTGCTATTTACTGGCACTCTTCTCTTTCCTATTAAGCGTGTGCTCAGTCCAACTGGGGGAAAAAGGAATGAGAAAAGTAGCAGTCTATTACAGAGGTGCTATGTTCTGTGCGACAAGCTGCCGTTTGTAGTTTGGCTTGTAAAGCACCTCTATTACAGTAAACTGAGAATAATTGAAAATGTATGTTAAGTAAATATTTCAGCAACTGCTGCCCACAGTCTTTATATTTTATCATTCAAGTGCTCGGGTGTGTCCTCATCACTCAGTGTCATGCAGATGCCCAGCAATACTAAATCAACATCACAAACATTATCAGCATCATCACCACCATACAAATCCTGATATCTGCACAACGCGATTAAGTGCTGCCGCAACAGTTTTGAGAGGTGACACAGATCTACGGTCTGATAAGATGAAAAAACAGGCTGTGTGTGAGTGTGTGTTCATAAAATATATTTAACAAGCATGTCAATGTTCGCCTCAGGAGAATAGTTGGAGTAGCAGAGGGTCTGTTGCTGACCTCATGTTACTTACGCCTGTGTAAACAAGAGATGACAGGCACACAAGTTTCACCACAAGCACACACACACACACACACACACACACACACACAAATACTAGCGATGTACACCACACGTGTACATCTTAACGTGTATGTTAGGCACATACATGATCAGTGCATGTCACTATATGTCAGTCCTTATGTGACTGAGAAGCATACTGTATATATACGTGTCTCATTAGTGTTTGACATGTCACCCCATCTTAACAGCAAGAGCATGGACACAGGTGTGTATACCACAAAAATAACGTGTTCATCCTTTCAAGGAGACAGCGGGGTAATTTCACTTCCTCTTTGTTTTTGCCTGCTTTCTCTCTTCCTGCTTTTCCTTTTTCTTCTTTTCACTGCCTTTACGTGGTTTTTTTATCTCATTGTTTGCTTTCACCCATTCCTGTTTTAGTAGAGCTCAGATGAGAAAGGTTTAATCATGGCAATTCCTCACCGAGGTGGCGGATACGAACATCAAGGGTTATGACTGATGTGGCAACCCCTGATGTTCTAACTGTTACACTAATGGGAAAAACAGAGAGGAAGATTGTGGACTTGTCTGCCTTTACCGCACCTTACAAGCACTAATCCTACTCCACTAGCCCCTTGGTGTATGTTTCGTGTGAGCAAGAAAATGAAATAAATACATTTAAGAGGCACTCACACATGTACAACACTTGCAGTTTAATGAACGGTATTTTCTGTCTCCAAAAAGCCCTCATAGGGGTAATTAAGCCCAACATTACAATCAGGTTTTAATAAGATTTGCAATGATGATTACCACATATTTGGTCTCTGTTTGAAAAACATTGATGTGTTTCTTGTGTGTGTCTTTATGTGTGCATAACAAGACATGACAGTTGCAGCCTGTTCTGTA